AGGAAGAGTTCGAGAGTGAGGGCGCCAAGCTGTCTACGCAGAAAGGGTGGAATGGCGTTCGCACTGGTCGTCATACCTTTGTAGTTGGAGCTGGTGTCCAAGGTGTCGGAGAAGTTGAGCCCCAAATCTTTCTCCATGGACACTCTGGTGATAGCACGTTGCTCAACATGTACTAGAAGTCGGTCGTACTTGCTTCATTTTTACTGATGTGCATTACTTTGCAGTTTTCCGGGTTGAAGCTCAGGCCATTTCCCGACGACCAGAGTTCGAGTTGCTGCAAGTCCTTTTGTAGTGCTGTACAATCAGCTTCTTCGTTTACCACCCTCCAAATTTTTATATCGTCAGCGAAGAGGAGGATGGGTGAGGACATTTTATCCTTGCTTTCATTCGCAGTAGAGTTTCCGTATCTCTGGTACAGACTGCTGTTACGTCATCCCCAATGCATGTGTGTTGAATGTTTGTTGGTTTGGTGAACAAATATTCAGTGATTAACCTCTCCCTGCCTCCACCTAATTATATTAGCCTGAAGTACAGTTGCCTTATTCCACTCACTTCGTTGTATGTAGTAGATAACTGATCTTATTGAGGTCTTTCATTCTGTATTTGGCCAAATTCCTATGTTCCGATAATCAAACTGGCCCTTACGGGCTAGTTTCACCTATGTACTTAACCCACTCACATTCATTGCATGGAATTTAGTGGATTAAATTATTCTGCTGACTGCTTTTATCGGGTCCCTGAGCCACCTGACAAAGCTTATCTCTTAATAAATTCGTGGGTTTTTAGAAAAAATGGTTAGTTTTGACGTGACAAGTCTTCATGCTGAATACTAATCAATATGGGACTGGAGGCGGTCAAAAATCAGCTGAATACTGACTCACGCCCCACTCACAGGACTAAGATATCGGTTGATGAAATCGTATTAGTTATGTGGTTGTGCTTGACCTACACAGTCTTTGGTTTCAGGTCAAGATGTATAGACAAACAGGTGGAGTCGTAATGGAGTCACTAACATTCTCCTATTTTATCACGGTTTGATCCTGCACCTTAGATTCGGTGGCAATATGTGGATTACACATTTGCTACTGTATTGAGAACGAAAGACATCATCAATTTCCTCACACATAATATCAACTCGGTACTAGGCCTAGTCCAGTTTACACCTGAGAGAAGGTGGAAAATGAAGAAGAATTATCCATTTTGGATTACAGAACTAAACAAAGGACAGACGTCGGTGGTTAGACACTGCCATCTGCGGGAGACCGACATATGCAGGTCATTTCATCCAGTTTCAGTCAGTGAAGGGGCGTTTAGCCAAATGTCTAAATGATACAGCTAGAAAACTAACTAGTCAGCTGAAGGACTTAAGCAGGGAATTGAAACGCATTGGTGAAGTATTAATAATTGGCGAGCATCCTCCTCAGTTTATTATTAATTTTGAAGGAAAACGTAAGGAACGAGATAATAACATCGACGCCAGTATGAATAGTAAGGACAACACTAGGAGGAAGGTGTTCAAACCCTCAATGGTGTTACTTCACTGTGAGGACACATCATGAACTTTACGTTGATTTCCCAACAAAGCTGTAATTAGTTGCGGTGGTGAAGTGAGGTGAGTAGGTCAGACTGGCTGGTCATTGATTGAAACAAAGAATATGAGGCGGATGAAGGACTATAAAAATCAGACGTCTCCAAACTGGTGTGACTGCACTGATGGCGACTATGAGCTATGCTCATTCATGCTGTGGACGTCGTCATCGGGTAGATGATACTGTATCTCTGTGCGCTATGTATCAAATAAACAAATCTGATGCGGGATGCCGTTCCATCATACAATGCCCAAGTTTTACACTTATAATAATACCACACGTAGTTCATCAAAGCCTTCTAATAACCACTGAAGCCATCGGCGGCAGTGAGACTGACGAAGGATGGATTCTACGTTTGGGGAACATGTTCACGAGTCACTCCTCGCATAGGTTTCAGTTAGCTGAAAGTGAGAAACCAAGCAGATTAGTGGACGGAGTAGCCCTCGGTACTACTTCGCTATTAGTAAAAAGCTTGTTAAAGCTGGCTCTTTAAAGGCTGGCAACACATTATTGACCCAACTTGCTTACGGGACCTCCGGTATTCACAATCTCTTTCGCTGTACCAGTGGCAGTGTGCATGGGCTGCGCTCCAAGATGCCAGATTTAAGGTTATCAGCTGATGAGAATAGCTTTCGTATGGTGCCTTTCTGTGAAACACAACTCACGGAGAATATAAAAGATGAGGAAAGCCTCTTTAGACAGCCCAATCTAATCCGGAAGGATAGGTCCGAGGGATCAGGAGGCACCGTTGTTCCTTGCGCCTGTCCTTCCTTTGATACCCATGAGAATGGCTCCCATAGAATTTGGTCTAAAGATGTGCTCTGGTGTAGCATTAAGTGCTGTGGAGGTTCGTTTTTGGTTTGAGTCTTATACTGCCCTCCTGAATCCAGTGCCGCGCTAAATGAGAGGGTCATATAATTCATTAGCTGAGCTTTGGAACTGAGCTTTCCACAGATCCTGACTATCAGAGATTCTAGTTTTCCTCAACTCTTTGCAACTGAAAGTCCATCTTCTGCTTTTGCAACCGTCTGACAAGATCCAGAAGGTTCCACTTTCCTGGATTGCGATAACCCACTGGATCTGGATGCCAAACGGGATCTAATGAAGAACACGATCTGTCGAACGATAAATAATAACACTTCTCTTTTTTCATGATAAATCGACGAGTTTTAATCTTTCTGGCTGGCGTCCCAGTATATAAGGGTGGAAACAAACTGATTGCCTCTAGCTATAGAGAAATCTTCCTCAACTCCCCTCTTGCGAAGGTTATCAAAAGAGTATGAGAGACCGATGAGTGACGAGGCCCGTGATCTCTTGGGGTTTCTTTCGCAAACTTTAGAGTTTCTAACTCCTTCTCCTTTCACCATAGCGTATGGGCCTTGTATTCGCCCTCAACTTAGGGAAAATGGTTCGTGATGTCATCATACTTGAGGAGGACGTAGGCATCCTAGAACGGGTTCCGAAAAGTGCTACGAAGAAAGTGACTAGGTTACGGTACGAACCTTACTCACACCGCCTGGTCTCTCTTAAGCCGCATCCAGTTCAATAACGGAGGGTCATGCCACATCGCCCAGGACCACCTTCCTGTTAACAGTTTCCCCTTAAGCCTTAATCAGAAACGCGACTTTTAGGGCTACCTGTTTAGAGCAGGGCGTGAGAGGGCGTGTACCGTGCTAACTCTTTTGCAGTTGGGGTGTGTAAACCGTGAAACTCTCACTCCACAGAAGTTGCTACGGTTCCTCCACCGATTCTGTTAAAAGGAGGTTAGATGCACATCTAGCACCTTGTGGTACCGATTGGCTGTACTCGGGAAGCTTTCTGTCATCTACAGTTCAGGGGGATTAATACTATCTTGAGATCAGATCAGTCGGTGTTCCTTGAGAATGTGGCTTAAACGTTGTGAGGACAGTCTGAAAGACAGGGGGTATCATCTGTTAGTCACCGTAGGTTACAGGGCGACTTGGTGATCGCATACAAATGATGAGTAATCCAATTCATACAAACAGTGGAATCCTATCGAACTGTCACTGTAGCAAGCTCCATGAAAACCCGGGCAGAATCGCCCTTCAAAAGGCAAAAAACCGAGTGGGTTCACACTTCTCTTTCTGTGAGACTGCGGCTACTGGAAAGCATCACCTCTCAAGATTGTTACTGCCCCAGCTGTCGGCAGCTTAAAGAAGATTTTGGACAGCCACACATGGACGCACGACTTGGGCTCCTCTAGCTGGGATACAGACCATGCTGACACGACCTACTGGTTCTGGGAAACCAGCACAGCTAACCCGATACCGAATCTTTTGTAGTGTCACTATCATTTCGAGCCGGAGTTTATCCTATACATTCTTCTAGGCGTCTCCCCGGTTACCACTTTATGAATTGTCCCGGTGAGAACTTGACAGATGCAGAGGCCAGTTACTAATCATTCGAACTTATTATATACTCACGAGTATGACATCAAGGGAGAACGCAATAGCGTAGTCGGATGGAATAGTATATTCTGGCGGTTGTGGTAAAATACAGATGCGTTCCAACTAACTGGCTAGAGGGTCGGTTACGAGCAGTGCAACGTAACACGACAGCGTGCCAAATGGCGAGGATGCTTGACCGGACACCTTCGGCCTAGCGAGTGCAATTCAACCGTCAAGGTCAGCATCAATGTCGAAAGTCGTCAAATCGAAGGCTATTAATTTTGGAGAAGTGGGTGACTCTGCACCATGTTCCCACTAGTAAGATGTCTTATATTCCCATAGTTCGTCCTATAATCCTGCTTGCCGCTTCTCTTACTTCTGGATCTGTATTTCTTTCGCGTTTTACAGGGTGCTTCCTATCACTGTTTTTTTGCTGAACCTACCTAGTTTTCTCCTTCCCTACCTTTACGCTTCTTTTCACCTTGCATTCCCACACTTCCTCTCCAGTGACATCGTCAGATGTCCTTCATTCCTTTATCTATTCTTTCCGGGACCAGTAAACACAATTTCCTGGTGTTGGTACTCTTGGGGAACCCATCTAAACCACATTCCTTCGAGAAATTACACAATCCCAACAATTTATTCAACACACAGCAGCCTACCCAGCTGATGACAGCTACAGAAGTTGACTGAGCTAACCTACTGCATCAAAATTCACCAAAAACCTTGAACCATTCTGTAAGACTCAGAAGAGAGGGTAAAAAGTCTACTGATTTTTAGAAGGTCGTGACATAGACATTGGATATTGGACTGTTTTTCCTAGTTTTCCATTTAGCGGCAGTTCGGTTGAGCGTCATAAACGCCTAATTTCTCGCTTTGATTTCTGTTGTGATGAGAATATGCTGAATACAAACTGTAAATCAAAAGATTTTCCCGAAGAAAATACAGAAAATGTTAAAAAGAAGATTTTGAGAAGCCTAAATAGAAGAAGTTGTTTGAATATATGTGTGACTTGCGAAGAGAAACATACGACGAATTGGCAGTGGCAAACACTACATGTAGACTTGTGAATACTAACAGGAGGTTTATTCTGGATAAATCAAGTCCTAAAAAAACGGATGTGTCATTTAAACAATGCGCAATTATGAAATCCGGGAACATTTTAGACACTCCTATAGATTTCGAGAAGACAATTTTAATGGACGCACATGAAAAACTTGAGGTATTACTTTTTATTATGTATTGTGATATACTTTTTGTGTAGAGAGTTGATCAAATGTTATATCAGCGTGCAAATCTCAAGGAAACCATAGGTAAAGATATATTTTTTATATAGCTTTGGCTATCTTAACATGTTTCTGAATGTTTATATTGGATTATTTAGGACTCAACCACATGCACAATATTATTTTTTCGTCCCAATTATACAATTTTTCGGTTAGGGTTGTGGTTTTTCTTTAAATTTGATGAGACCTTGATCACGTTCCAATGAAAATTGTGTAACTTTCCAACGTGCATGACAAACTGGAATTGTTTGGACTCTGACGTCAAGGTCTTAAGACGGTTTTTTGGTTCTGCTCCTTTGGTAGGCACTAGGACGTTTTCGTTTCCTGCATTTAGCTCTAGAGGATGCTATTGTCTATGGCTTACTTCTCTCGGTAGTTCGTAGACTAGGTAAGCAAAGAAGGTCGTTGTTGAGGTAGATGAAGCTGTCACTTAACTGGTTTCAAGATTCACATTTGCTATTTGAGAATAGAAGGCTGTGATCCTATATAAATCATTTTCCAGCAGATTTCTGTGCTTGTCTAATCCCTTTATGAACGAGGCAATTGATGATTCAGACACCACTTCTGGGAGTCGGTTCCAGGAGTTGATTACTCGACGCAATAACCACTACTCTGATTAGACTATATTCCCTCTTTGCTTCTGTATCCTCTTACTATGTCCCAACCTAGTGGGAAGGAAAAGAGAAGATAGATCAGATCCTAAGTCATTTCTTAGAATCCTGCATTGCATGATTTGATCTCCTCTGCATTTGAAGTGAAGAGATTCAGCTCCTTAAGTCAATCTTCATAACTCAGACCAGCCATCGCAAAAGTCATACGAGTGACTGCCCTATGATCTCTTTCTAGAAGGTCAGCTTCATCTTCCAGACTAGGATTTACTGCTTTCCAAATCGTAACTCACTGTGATTCCTAGATCACTGTGGGTCAGTACTGAGAGTAGAGAAGTCCTACCAATACTATAGTTGTTGACATGTGTGTGCCCCCCCCCCTTGCGTGCTCACACATTTACCTGCATTAATAGGCATAAGCCACTTCTGTAACCAAGGAAATAAGCCGTTTAGGTCTGTATGACCAGCGTGTACATCCTCTTCACTCCTTATTTCGCGTCAGATGTTTACATTATCAGAGTAGAGAACTATACTGGATTTCATGATATCTGGCAGCTCATTTACCTATAAGATAAATAGCAGAGGACTGAGGACTGTGCTTCGTGGCACTTCACTGTCTACCGACTTCGAAGTGAAGAGTTGAGAATTGATCCTTACTATTTGTCCTCTACCAATGAGGAACTTGCTTATCCATGCAAACAGACTGGCAGTGATTTGAAACCTTTCCATTTTCCCAAGAAACCTGGAATGAGGTATCTATGACGATGACATATATAGGTTTCCTATAATCTTTAGACTTAACCCAACTTTCTCTGACTGTAAGGGAGTTCATCAAGCAAGGGAAATTTCTGCGAAAGCCATGCTGCGAACAAGACAATAGACTGTTGCTCTCTAGGTGGACTGTGATGGCTTTCTTGATTACTCTTTCTGGTTTTTTTAGTACAGTACTAGTCAAACTTATCGGTCTGTAATTTGATGGGTGTTGCCTGGAACCCGTCTTGTAGGTAGGTATATCTGTGGCATACTTCCAGTCATATGGGAGTGTCCCTTCACTGAGAGACCGTCTAAATATAATAGTCAATTAGTCGGCTACATAGAATGCAGTCTGTCTGGCCAGACTTGGGTACACTTTATCCGATCCTGTTGACATTTCTACATCGAGATTACTTAATGTCCGAAGTATATCATTCCAATCGATATCTACAGAGTTTATTCTGTTGAATGTCAACGCTTCTACTGTTGAATAAGTGTCCACAGAAGAGTGCTATGTAAAGACCTCAGTATCTAAAATCAGCAGACCACTAGTTCTTTTGTCTGAGAATGCAACCAATTAATGACAGTCTATGGGCTCAAGCTATAATCTTAATTGGACATTAAATTTGTGTTTCAAGGACTCTAATGATTTAGTTTAAACGAATTCTAAGAAAAGGTATTGTAAGTATTAACTGCTCTGTAAAAGGTATGCTTTGTGTCTATCCTATGGTGTTTTATTTCTAACTAATGGGTGTTCCCCTCCCCCCCCCCTAGGATTCGTATTAGAACTTAGCTTAAGCAAATAATGAAGTGGGTCACCTGAAGTGCTTAAAATGTTACACATCATTATTGGTTTACCTCTCTCTCGTCCATATTCCAAAAGGTATGGATTGAGCGCTGTCATGAGTTCCTCGGGTAACTCGGACTCTAGTTTGCAAACGCATTTTGTGCGGTACCTGTCGATGCATTCTTAAAGGTTCTTATTTTAATTGAAGGAGAAAAGATGACATTCCTAGATTCTAAGTGGGATTGTATGAAACTGTTGAAAATTTAGTGTTGATACATATGACCAAACTGTCTAAAGACTCGTTGTAGGTTTACTAGTAACTAGATTTGCATGGAATTCATCTTCTTACCATCGTAAGATTTCTGGTCGTAAAGGGCTAAGACCATAAGATCCTTATTTGCCAGGAATATCTTCAGTTCTGCCCCGTTTAGTTTGATTGTGTAACATTCATCATACTACTTCTGTATCAACATATAATCTTCATAACTGAGGGTTGGTTCATTGTAACTCGCCTAATGTTGGATCCAAGAGAAATCATTATGCGAAGGTAACTGCAAAGGCAAATAAAGTGCGGAAGTGGCCTTAAAACCGAGCCCTTGGAGACTCCTCTAAGGTATTTCTTTTCTTTGGACATGGTAGAATTCACTTAAACCTTTTTGAGGCGGTCACTTAAATATACTAATAGCCTGTTGTGATTGATATGATAGAAAGTCTTAGAAAAATCAATAGGTATGACATCTTCTACACATTTGTTATTATCTCAAGCCTCTGAGTTCGATAATCTCTCAAATGCCATCCAGAGAGTCTTGAGGCATCTAAAGGTGTTAACCGGAAGCAATTGTCCTTCCATTCTAGTTAATTTATTAGGTATGTCACACAGTGGAAACGTATTATTTACTGGGTCACATTTTGGACACAATTTATTGTCTGTAGCTATCTTGATATATATTACCGTTGTGTTGTAAATTACTACACTATAATGGGGGTCTGGGGGAGAAGTCGAACTACTACTGGCTGAATGGGGTGTGACAACAGTAAGGTGTTTCCCTTGAATGACCAGCAGTGCTATGCTGATGCTGCCTTCTTAGTGGAAGGGGGAGGGGTTAGAAAACGTCAGTCCCAAAAATAACACCCTCCACCATGCCTCACGGTCTGCCGGGTCGGTGGTATTGGTTCACTTACCATTTGTTTTTCACCATCCGGTCCCAAAACGACCAAAGTTCAAAATAATCATACACAAAAGGCGGGGTGTGATAGAACTCAAGCAGATGTCCAATGGGCTCTGCGGGTAACACAAATCTATTTAGGTACCTTAAGAAGAAATAGCCTTCCATGGTGTTGGCAGCTGGGTAGTGTCAACCACCTCCACAACTTTGTCAGCACACGGTTTATGTAATGTTAATTTTCTAGACCTTTCTTTGAAATTTAAGTTGTCAGATTTTCCATATATCCTGAACAGGTGTCAAGTCATTCTTGTTGCATATATTTAGTGTTGATTCGACAAGTAGAGATTCTGTTATTCATTTCTCTTTCTACCGTGCTATGTTAGTTTTAAGGGCCCTCACTATACGCTCTCATTTTATGTTACTATATGCAATCTCATCCATGGTAATAGTGAAATTTTCCTTCACATCACTTACCTTACTAAGATCTACCGATTTGGACGTAGTTAGGTTTCTGTGGTCGGACTGTCTAATTGACCCTGGTTGACTGCATTGGCCTATGTATCTGATATTGGAATCGTTGCAAAAGACTAAGTCAACTAAATTACTCTACCTTATTGGATCTATAAGGTTTTCTAACATACAAATCGCATTTCTAAGTGATTTTTGTTCCAGCCAGCGTTACTCCCAATCCTACGTAGTGTTTCTGAAGTGTACTCTTTGTATAGTAATACCTCATTGACACTATTATCACATGTAATACTAATTTTGGTCAAATTTTTCCCAAGATTCCTAAGGAATTTCTTAATTAACTTAAGAGGGTAATTGTGGATAAGTAAGGTGTCTTAAATATATCTGGTTTCTTATCTTAGACTTTCCCTTTTACCAGTCAGTTTTCTAGCCCTGATACCTAGACACATCACTATTGGTACATTATTTATCCGATGGGTTCGTAGTGGAACGTAGGGCTTCAGTAGCACGTCCCCAGTGCACTCTGTTCTCTGAAGTCTTTTGAACCTGGCTCCATTACTGCCCACAAGCTCTCATTTCCTCCTCGCACTATCTCCTCCATGTCACCCTCATTTGGGGCACCCAACTCGTCGTTTTCCATTGGGTTCCACTGAGTGCCTGACCTGGTGCGTGATGTCCCCGAATGGACTTCTCAGTGTATGCCCAATCCATCTCCAATTCCGGCTTGAGTAACTAGCCAGCGTAGGCAGTTGTTGATGAATATTTGTAGTTTGTTGGAAATGCATTTCGTAACGCTCCAAGTCTCTCAACAGTCATATAGAAACAGCGACTTGACTGGATTGGTGTTGAAAATTCGGATGTTGTTCACGCTTTGTGCTGAGTGCAGAAGATCTCCACACTGATTTCAGGTTAATGAAGGCCTGTGTTGCTTTTTCGATCCTGGCTCACTTTTACATCCTCGTCTGAGCTTGTGCCGCCTTTAGTTGAAACGATGCTGCCTCTGTAGGTAGGTGAAAGAGGCTACTGTTAGTTTATCTACTGCAACATGTTGTTGAATGTTTTAGTGTAGAAGAAATTGTTGAACTTATCTCTTACTGAATCATTTCATCCATTCTTTTTTATCACTCTTTCAGATAATCGTTTTATTTCAGTGATTCATTCACGAATACGTATATACTTTAATGTATGGTTACGTGTAGCTGTAGACTATCGTTCCGCTCAGTTTCTACGTCACCATCATCTGTTAGTATCAGTTTTTACCTTTGGAAATATCGTATCCTTTATTATTTCTCTCTATGATAATTATTATTTGAAATGATTAGTCTTTTAGCATAATCACAAGACAAGAATTGTTTGAACAATATGTATAGGATACTTGCCCAGTACACATTTTGAGCCATCTTATTAAATAATCAATATTTATTGAAGAATAAGGGGAGATAGGAGATTAAAAGTAAGCAAGATGAGAACATGAATAAATTATTTGTGTATATCCATAAAGATGGTTTCACCTTCAATGTTTGTTTCTATGTGAAAGTTTGAAAGTTGTTTGAACATTGATTTTGTGATTTGTATCTATAATATATCCAGCTATGTTAAATTTTGAAGTCATTTCGGTATATATATTTTTTCTGTCATCAGCTACATAGCTTGACTACTTCCTTCTATGTATGTATGATCACATATGGATACACATACACAGTTGTAAACTGGTTAACACAATGGGATATGACACACAATAATGGTTGATGTTAGCCTACGTCTCAAAGTTGTATGGTACAATGATGTGGACACATATTCGAAGGAATTGTGTGTCTACAGTTGCCTTTAGTACTTAATACCTGACCCGTACAATGATGTATAAACTTTCAACGGATATCCGTTTCCATACGTCAGTCATTTGATATATATATACACACACACAACAGATCCTATTCAACAAGCATTTCATTGTGTAGACTAACCGTCTTATTCAATCATCTTCTTGTCAACTCAAGAGTTACATCTAAGAATGACAGATGATATCGATTTGTATGGTGTTAAATCGCTTCTTAGTAGATAAACCATATCCTCATGTTTCTCATAAATCACTATAATGTCATCAAGATATCTGTGGTAAAAGGAAACTTTAATGATGAAGTTTCATGAGGCAGATTTTCGATATTATATGACATCCCATCATACTTACACCGTCAACTTGTTGAAATCTGTTCACCTTCAGTACATAACAATCATAGTTGTCTGTCGGAAGAGTTGGAGGAATGGGAATAGGAGGTTTGTACACGTTGACATGGATGTATGAGAGATTCTATGTACCACTTTCGGATATGGTGGTAAGATACATCGATTGCTGAACACCAATCTTACACTGGCGACTGGAATCCTCTTCTCTTTCAAGGATCGTTGCTATCTCCTTGCAACTATTCCCTCTACATTATCTCTATGAGACAGAAAGTTGGTAGACATTTTCTTCTCCTTGTGCAATACACATGTCGAACGATCTGGTCATACATATTTACTGAATAATGCAGGAGGATAAACAGAACAATTTAGATGAGTAGGCGATAACAATGAAGAAAGATGAGAACAAAAGAGGGTAGAGTAACATAGTTAATTCTATTCTTGGTAAGAAATCAAAGTAGTTAACCAAGCAAGATTCATGTAAGTTTCTGTGCTCAGATAGACTAATTAGGTCTCGTCGACCATTTTGACTGACCTAATTACTTGACTTCATAATCATTGCATGGCATTCTGTAAACGAAGTTATTTTGCTTAATTGTAGTAGTATGGTGAAAATCGGCATAGTATAGTAAGACAACAGATGTACAGGGAAATTCAGCTAGAATGGGTAGCGTCGAAACAATTGACCTGAGACAATGAAGGGAGACATTGGTTATCATTATTATTATATTATTTGTTCCTTGGGTTCCTAGTGGGACATAGGTCTTCAGTAGCACGTCCCCAGTGCACTCTGTTCTCTGAAGTCTTTGAACCTGGCTCCACTACTGCCCACAAGCTCTCATTTCCTCCTCGCACTATCTCCTCCATGTCACCCTCAGCTGGGACACCCAACTCGTCGTTTTCCATTGGGTTCCACTTGAGTGCCTGACCTGGTGCGTGATGTCCCCGAATGGACTTCTCAGTGTATGCCCAATCCATCTCCACTTCAGTCTTCTGCACATTTGTTGAGCAACACGTTCTTGGTTGGTTCGTTGCCAGCCAACCAGCCAGAGTTCCTCCTTGCTTATTCTCTTACTCTGGCCATTTGAGCTTCAGTATCGAGTGAGCGTAGGTGGCAGCTGTTGATGAATATTTGTAGTTTGTTGGAAATGCATTTCGTAACGCGTCAAGTCTCTGGACCATAACACAGAAGCACTGACACGACTGAATCAGTGTTGAAAACCCGGATGTTTTTCACGCTTTGTGCTGAGCGCAGATCTCCACACCTGTCTTGTCTGTCTTTCCGATGCTGGATGGCTTTGACGTCCTCGTCTTTGCCGCTGCCTGTAGTTGAAAGAGTGCTGCCCTGTCTAGATAGGTGAAGGAGGCTACTTCTTTTAAGTTTCTCACGTTGATGGTGGTGTTGGTGTTGACTGGGTATCATCATCACCTCTGTCTTCCCTACGTCCACTGAAGTCCCGTCCTCGCTACCCTGTCTCTTCTGTCAACTTGTTAGTTTTCGCCTGTACATCTTCGAGTGTGTGTGACGTTAAACACAAGTCATCGGTGCAATCTAAATCTTCTAGGTTCTTTTCCGTGGTCCAGCGTATCCCCCTCTTCTCGCTCCTCACTGTTTGTTGCATGATCCAGTCGACTACAATCAGGATTATCATGGGTGATGATAGTAGGCGGCAGCCTTGTCTTACTCCTGTCTTCACTTAAAAGGCATAACTGAGCTTCGCATTGTGGATTACTTGGCATGTGGCGTCTTCATATAGTTGTTGAATGAGGCTGATAAAGGTTTGCGGTATTCCTTAGTGTTGAGGCAGTTTCAAAATTACTTGCTGGTCGACGCTGTCACAGGCCTTCTCAAAGTGGATGAAGTTGAGGTGAGGTAGAGATTTGACTGTCATTCTATACTCTGTTCTATGATGATGCGTAGCGTTGCAATTTGATCCGCACATGATTTGTACTTCCTGAATCAAGCCAGCATATTCCGGTCGTAGTTTTGAATCCAGTGCATCGTTCAGTCTCTCCAGGGTTATGCGGCTGAATATTTTGTTTGGGGTGGACTGGAGCGTGATTCTGCGCCAGTTCTTGCGAAGACTTATGTCCCCCTTCTGTGGGAGTTTGACAAAGTAGTCCTTCTTCCAATCTGCAGGTACCTGCCTTTCCTTCTAGAGCTTCTGCAATAGTGGTGTGAGCATATCCGCTGTTATCTCTGTGTCTGCTCTCAGTGCTTATGGCGAAATTCCATCTAGATCTACTGCTTTCTCGCATTTCAGTGGCTTTATGTCGTTCAGAACTTCGACTAGTAAACTGAATCGCGGTTATCATTGATAGTCAAAATAAGAATCTTTGTTTATCGAATCAAAACCGAATATATACAGCAACTGGAACAATTTATCACTTGTTCCAGATGCATGGAAAATCCAACCACCTATATCACAAAGAAGATAAGGAAATTAGGAGTATATATAAGGTATATCTCGAAGTTGTGCATTTCTATCATTTCGGTTTTCCTCTTCTCTTCAGAAATCTTTTTGAAACTTTAGGGGTGACCACAAGAATGTGGAAAAGAAAAGTAAATAGGATGTACTTACTGACAAGTAGAGAGTTTGACAACGAAAAAGTGAATGAGTACGGATTCGAATGCACTGCACTACTACCCCTTGTTTGGACATATTATCCCCAATGCCTGCTTTCACTTGAGTGTGTTAAACTGGAGTGAGTTACATTCGAGTGGATGGCTGGTGTTCAGTACACATCGGTGTGACCGTGAGTGAGCCCGATCCCACCTCCGACAGCAGAATATAACAACCAGATGTTGATACATTTTCGTCATGCCTGTTGGCAGGTGGGTGGATTGTTGCAGAGAGTTGTGTAGAGCAGCGTGAGTTTGGTGGTGGTGGCCACGAGGATCTGGAGTCGATAAAAAGTCAGCCGACGACTTAAATAACTGACAAATGGTAGATAGCTTAAGAATAAAGAGATGAGGCATTCTAGAAGTCGAAAGTAGAAGGTGAATGAGTACGATTTCAAATGTGTTACACTACTACCCCTTGTTTAGATGCACTGAAATGAGTTATCCCAACTTGAATTGTTATACAATAAGTTTCAAGTCGTACTCTGCTTGATCTTCACCTTCTGCATCTTCTGAAGATGCAGAACGTGAAGATCATTCGGATACACAGTAATTCACTGTTTACTATGATTTCTTAACTCAGTCAATTGTAGAATTCAATTCAAGAATGTTACTGAAGCTTAAAAATCAACAATCTGTAAATCACTTCCATATCAAATTAAAGGTAATTGATTTACGTTTATCTCAGTGATTCATTTTAATTAAATATTCTAGTTGACAAATGTGTGGAGCGGCTGATGAGATGATAATCAACTTGAGGGTCTTAGATGGTGTCATTAAGAAACTTTCTATATAAAATCAGCGTAGAAACTCACACACACACACACACATTCCACAGTGATATCTAAGACTGATTGATGTACAACCATGTCACTGACAGTTTTTGACTACTGATTCTTATCGTCTCAGAGACTCCAACTAGTCAGTGTACATCTTTTCACGAGCTTCAAGCCAACAGTCAGGGACTTTATCGACTGATGCGACATCTTGTGTGATAATATACAAGCTACTCAACTCGTACATAATCCATGTTGAAAGCTGGAATGGCAATCTAAGTCACCTTTGGCACCGTCATGATTCTAGTCTGACCGATGCGATCAGTTCTGCTGTACGCCTGTGAAGCTTTATCTCTTCGAACTGAGGATGTGTGACTATTCTGTACGTTTGAACATTTTTGTCTCCGTAGGACTGCGCGCATCCGTTGGCAATACTATGTAATAACTTCTCAGATACGACAGCATGTGTTTAAGCATGACGGTGAAACTCATCAACTTGGATGATATGGGCATCTACTACACACGTCATCACCTCAACAGCTTCCATACCGTTCATTGTTTTTTACCCCGGGAGTGGATAGAAGAATTGGAGATATCGTCAGTGTATGATGTGGCACCTCCTGGAGAGACTAAAAGATGCGCTGGAACAGCCTGGCTTCAGGAAGTACAAATCATGTGCGGATCACCATACAACAAAGTATACAATGACGGTCAACGCTCTACCTAAACCTCATCCATTCTGAAAAAGCCTTCGATCGAGGCGTCAGCCGAGAAGTAATTTGGCAGGCAGTTGCTTCAACACTACGCACTGCCACAAATCTTTATCAACCTCATTCAACAGCTGTATGCTATATGATGCTACATGCAAAGTGATTCACAATGGAGAGCTCAGTGATGCCTCCGAAGTGAAGACAGGAAGGAGTAAGACAAGGTTGTCGCCCACTATCACCCATGATCTTCCTGATTGTGGTCGACTGGATTTTGCAGCAAACCATGAGGAGCGAGAAGATGGGCATACCCTAAAATATTTGGATTTCGCCCATCAGGATTTACGTCTAGTATGGCATAAGCTCGAAGATCTACAAGCGAAAACTAACAAGTTGACAGAAGAGGTAGGGCAGCGAAAACAGGATTTCTTTCAGGTGAATGTAGTGAAGACAGGGTTGATGAAGATACCCAACCAACAATATCATCAAAAACAAGCACCAATCACCATGAACAGGAGCAACCTAAAAGAAAGTTTTCACTTTCACCTACCTAGGCAGCATCGTTTCAACTACAGGCGGCACAGGCACAGACGAGGATGTCAAAACTGGGATTGGAAAGACAGCAAGACAGGGCTCACTGGATTAATCTGAAATGATGAGTGTGGAGATCTACTGCACCCTACTCAGCATAAAGAACAAGATCCGGATTCTCAACACTAATTCAGTCAACTCAGTGCTGCTGTATGCTTCAGAAACTTGGCGCGTCACGAAAAGCATTTCCAACAAACTAAAGATATTCATCAACAGCTCCCGCCTACGCTCACTCGATACTAAAGATGATGATCAGATGATCAGAAAGAATAAACAAGGAGGAACTGTGGTGTGGCAACGAAGCAAAAACTTATCGCCCAATAACTATGGAGAAGAGAGAGGAGATGGATTGTGCATGCACTGAGAAGACCATTCGGGGACATCACACACTGGGCCGTCGAGTGGAACGGGAACGGGAAGCGGTGAGTTGAGCGTCGGAGGGTGATATGAAGGAGGAGGAGGAGGTGTGAAGAAGAAGAAATGGAAGCTTGTGGGCAGTGTTGGAGTCATACTGGAGAGGAGAGAGTAAAATGGTGACGTGCTACGGAAGCCGTATGTTCCATTATGTACCCAAGGGTTAAATAGTACTTTTTTGCCCTTTCTTAGAGGTGACCAACTCACCTTATCATGCTACCACTAAATGGCTAGTACGATTACTTCAATCTTTGAGTGACTAGTTAGCAACGTTATATTTGTAAAAGTTTATTGGGAAGGAAATAAGACACTGGCATTCCTATCGTAAGTTTGAAAGAATTTCTGTTAAAATGTACAGTCAATGTCCAGTTCCTTTTCAACAGTAATCTGTACAAACAAAATGACACAGTGGAGGCTATGGGATCTTCATTAGGCCAAATATTTATCGACATATTTCTGATGAAATCGGAAAATGGTTCCTTTGACAAGAAAAAAAGATGGTTATATACCGAAAAAGCATAGTATATCCACTTTCTCAGCTTCGTATAGATGAAGTACAAACTTAATATTATGATCAGGTGCTTGGTATTTAGAGTAAAATCGATATGTTCCAAGGAGTGTATAGAATAAGAATGGATATCTGGATAATTTCATCAAAGTAAATATAAACTACATTGATTCTAAACAAGAACTGATGACAGTTGAGAAGCAGCTTTAGCTTTCTGAGGCTAAATCATAACTTACCTAATCTCATCTCTTCATTTTGAATAGAACGAACTATCAAGCAGATGCGTTTCGGGATACAAGAACATTTACCAGGTTGGTTTGGAAAAGGCGAAGTGAAAAGTTCAATCCTAATGCATCTAATCGATACAAGGAATCACATAGATACTCTAATTAAGCTTTGAATGCCATTCATCATGTTCCTAAAACAACACCATATGTACCTCATCAACGACACCTGCCCAAAATAACGGTGACTTCATTCAGAATGAACATATAAAAGCGTTACTTCTATCTTGGCTTTCAGTAAACTAAATTTCCACCTCCACCATTTTATTCGTTATCGTTATCCGTTATAGTTGTTTGAAATCTTCACATTCAGCTCATGTTTCAAGTTATCAAGACTGTAAACAGTGCGTATTTCATTTCACAAAGAATCAATGGTATTTAAGGGTAACTAACTATGGAAATTAAGACGCCACATGCCAAGTAATCCACAATGCGAAGCTCAGTTATGCCTTTTAAGTGAAGACAGGAGTAAGACAAGGCTGCCGCCTACTATCATCACCCATGATAATCCTGATTGTAGTCGACTGGATCATGTAACAAACAGTGAGGAGCGAGAAGAGGGGGATACGCTGGACCACGGAAAAGAACCTAGAAGATTTAGATTGCACCGATGACTTGTGTTTAACGTCACACACACACTCGAAGATGAACAGGCGAAAACTAACAAGTTGACAGAAGAGACAGGGTAGCGAGGACGGGACTTCGAGTGGACGTAGGGAAGACAGAGGTGATGATGATACCCAGTCAACACCAACACCACCATCAACGTGAGAAACTTAAAAGAAGTAGCCTCCTTCACCTATCTAGGCAGGGCAGCACTCTTTCAACTACAGGCAGCGGCAAAGACGAGGACGTCAAAGCCATCCAGCATCGGAAAGACAGACAAGACAGGTGTGGAGATCTGCGCTCAGCACAAAGCGTGAAAAACATCCGGGTTTTCAACACTGATTCAGTCGTGTCAGTGCTTCTGTGTTATGGTCCAGAGACTTGACGCGTTACGAAATGCATTTCCAACAAACTACAAATATTCATCAACAGCTGCCACCTGCGCTCACTCGATACTGAAGCTCAAATGGTCAGAGTAAAGAGAATAAGCAAGGAGGAACTCTGGCTGGCTGGCTGGCAACGAACCAACCAAGAACGTATTGCTCAACAAATGTGCAGAAGACTGAAGTGGAGATGGATTGGGCATACACTGAGAAGTCCATTCGGGGACATCACGCACCAGGTCAGGCTCAGCCATCACCTACCTTGACGTACAACACTAGAAGAAGTAGGATTAGATTTGAGGAAAGTTCGAGGTGGTATGTGGAGGTAACTTGAACTTTTTCACTTGTTTGCGATGTTCTACATTGATTTTTTTCTATCGATTATGAACTTGTTTATAAGATGACAATTGTTAACGTACGTCACATCTCAGATATCATATCTTCCTTATTTCTGTTATATACCAAAATTTTGCAAAAAATCTCTTCTTTCTTATCTAGACACGTAGTATACTACTCTGGGTATTGTATTGTAAAAGAAAACAGCACAAATACACTTTAATGAAGACTGCAAATACTTTCTATCGTCGCCATGTGAGTAAAATAACTTTTTTCATATATGTGTGTAGTTGCCAAATAGTCAGGGACATTAATTCCCTCTAGGTTCCAGATATATCATTCTGACGAGTGCCAGTCATCTCCGTTGTTAGCTTGAATCCTTTTTATTACCCCATTTCTCAGCTTCAGACTAATGCCTAAATATGGACATAATAATCTGATTGGTTGATTCGATAACCAATTATGATTATTATCATTTATTACTTTCCCTTAGGTTCCTAGTCGAACATAAGGATTCAGTAGCACGTCTTCATTATACTCTTCTGTCTCCAGTCTTTTGAACCTGGCACCACGACAGCTAACAAGCTTTCATTTCCTCCTCAGACACAATCTCCTCCATGTGACCCTCAGCTGGGAGGCCCAACTCGTCGTATCCCACTCCTGTTCCACTCGAGGGCCCAGTGTGTAATGTCCCCGAATGGTCTTCTCAGTGCATGCACAATCCATCTCCTCTCTCTTCTCCATAGTTATTGGGCGATAAGTTTTTGCTTCGTTGCCACACCACAGTTCCTCCTTGTTTATTCTTTCTGATCATCTGATCATCATCTTTAGTATCGAGTGAGCGTAGGCGGGAGCTGTTGATGAATATCTGTAGTTTGTTGGAAATGCTTTTCGTGACGCGCCAAGTTTCTGAAGCATACAGCAGCACTGAGTTGACTGAATTAGTGTTGAGAATCCGGATCTTGTTCTTTATGCTGAGTAGGGTGCAGTAGATCTCCACACTCATCATTTCAGATTAATCCAGTGAGCCCTGTCGTGCTGTCTTTCCAATCCCAGTTTTGACATCCTCGTCTGTGCCTGTGCCGCCTGTAGTTGAAACGATGCTGCCTAGGTAGGTGAAAGTGAAAACTTTCTTTTAGGTTGCTCCTGTTCATGGTGATTGGTGCTTGTTTTGATGATATTGTTGGTTGGGTATCTTCATCAACCCTGTCTTCACTACATTCACCTGAAAGAAATCCTGTTTTCGCTGCCCTACCTCTTCTGTCAACTTGTTAGTTTTCGCTTGTAGATCTTCGAGCTTATGCCATACTAGACGTAAATCCTGATGGGCGAAATCCAAATATTTTAGGGTATGCCCATCTTCTCGCTCCTCATGGTTTGCTGCAAAATCCAGTCGACCACAATCAGGAAGATCATGGGTGATAGTGGGCGACAACCTTGTCTTACTCCTTCCTGTCTTCACTTCGGAGGCATCACTGAGCTCTCCATTTTGAATCACTTTGCATGTAGCATCATATAGCATACAGCTGTTGAATGAGGTTGATAAAGATTTGTGGCAGTGCGTAGTGTTGAAGCAACTGCCTGCCAAATTACTTCTCGGCTGACGCCTCGATCGAAGGCTTTTTTCAGAATGGATGAGGTTTAGGTAGAGCGTTGACTGTCATTGTATACTTTGTTGTATGGTGATCCGCACATGATTTGTACTTCCTGAAGCCAGCCAGCTAGCCAGCTTGTTCCGGTCGTCATCCTTGGATTCACATGTCAGCGTTTGCCGTCGTCTTATTCCTTTTCGACCACTTCAAACTTATATCAAACCACAGCCATCTGAGTTTATGAAGTTTGATTTAACTGACTCCCAGTATAGCGATGATGGTTTAACTCTATAAGGGTTATAAATTTTAACTCAGTGGTAACCGGTGTCGATGAGATGAAACAGTATGACCTCTGTATCCATCTTGTTTACCCCTTATCTAATCATGATGAATGATGTTCGGCAATTCGATGACGAACTTGCCTAACTGTTGCTCCGCACAATGTAATTAGCTACAGAAGCAGTTGAACTAGTTGTTGCGATTGTTTTCGAGAGTACTTTTAGTTTCACGAATTGACTACTGAGCTTATTTCAGTAGTTTAAAATGTTTTCATTAATTTTTGAACTGACCTTTAGATACTGCAGTACTATATAACATGTTGGCATAAGAATTATTTTCTAACTGGAGAATCTATTAGTCAAAAACATCTTTTATCTGCAGCACGGGCATATAATCGTCGTAAAATATTGAATAAAGCATTATGTACTTGGATTGTAAGAAAACAAATATGGCAGGTGAAAAGAAATCATCGTGAGATTGCTTCACACTTTTTTCAGGATAAAGTGAATACATCTATTGTACGTTCAATATTTAAACAATGGTTTCAACAGATTTTTGGACATTGATCTATCAAATAAATGCAATAGGTTTGTTCATTTTCTTTGGTTTTGTCCTCTGTACTTACTTACTTACTTAATTGTGCCTTGAGTTACTAAGTGGAATGCATGGCTTCAGTAGCATGTCTCCATTACACTCTGTTCTCTGAAATCATTTGAACCTGACTCCACCACTGCCCAAAAGCTCTCAATTCTTCCTCACACATGATCTCCTTCATCTCACCCTCGCCTCAGACACCCAACTCGCCGTTTCCATCTGGGTTCAAATCGAGAGTCTGGCCTGGACTGGCGCGTGATGTCCCCGAATGGTCTTCTCAGTTCATGCCTAATCCATCTCCACTTCCGTTATCTGCAAATTTGTTGAGTGATAGGTTGTTGGTTGGTTCTTTGCCAGACAGCCAACCAGAGTTCCTTGTTGCTTATTCTTTCTAGCCATCTGAGCTGAGCTTCAGTAACGAGCCAGCGTAGGCAGTTGTTGATGAATATCTGTAGTTTGTTGGAAATGCTCGTCGTAACGCGCCAAGTCTCTGAGCCATACAGAAGCAATGACTTGACTGGATTGCTGTTGAAAATCCGGATGTTGTTCACACCTTATACTGAGTGCAGAAGATCTCCACACTGGTTTCAGGTTAATGAAGGCCTGTCTTGCTGTCTTTCCGATCCTGGATGGTTTTGACGTCCTCGTCTTTGCCGCTGCCTGTAGTTGAAAGAGTGCTGCCCTGCCTAGATAGGTGAAGGAGGCTACTTCCTTTAAGTTCCTCACGTCGATGGTGATTGGAGATTGTTGTTGTTGGTGGTGTTGTGTTGGTTGGGTATCATCATCACCTCTGTCTTCCCTACGTCCACTTGAAGTCCCGTCCTCGCTACCCTGTCTCTTCTGTCAACTTGTTAGTTTTCGCCTGTACATCTTCGAGTGTGTGTGACGTTAGACACAAGTCATCGGCGTCTTTATATAGCTGCTGTTGAATGAGGTTGATGAAGGTTTGTGGTATTCCGTAGTGTTGGAGCTGTCGCCTGCCAAATTTCGTCCGGTCAACGCTGTCAGAGGCCTTTTCAAGGTTCATGAAGTTGAGGTGAGATAGAGATTCGACTGCCATTCTATGCTCTGTTCTATGATGATGCGTAGCCTTGCAGTTTGGTCCCCATATAGTTTTTACTTCCTGAATCCAGCCTGTTCCTGTCGTATTTGGAATCCGGCGCATGCTTTCTACAATGATTAGCATTTATCATAACAATTAGAAGACTTCTTTTATTCAGCGGTCCAGCCCAGTGCCAAGGATGACGCAATCGTGATGGAATCCACAGGTTTGAGTTCAACCCTAGTGAGGCGAGGACGTACAAGCATTCCAGTGAGGAGTCGCTTATTAGGACAAAACAATGTTTGTCCTGTACTCTCAGCTTTACAGGGCATATGTTCTTTCTTATTTAAGATCTATTCATCAATTGGATGTGCATACATCAGTGAAGGTGACAGTGTTCCCATTGAAAGTCGAACCTATCACCTCCTGGATTCCATGTTCTGACCATCATGTGTCCACTGAGGTTAAGTTATCTAACTCGCTTAAGGATTCTTTGCACATAGTATAGTGTTTACCTATCGAACAAGAACCAAGTCAACTGTCTACATGCACAGTCGAAATTAGTTTTTTTTTTTAAAACAAGTGAACTGATCCCATAACTGAGCCTGGTCTATACTTGGAATCCATCATGGAGACAAAAGGAAAGAATTAACATATAGCTTACATTAGACATTAGACATTTTTGGAGGCTTTCTACAAACCGATTTTGTTTTTGGTAACTAATAAACTTGACTAGGCAACCACTGTGAATACGAGTAAGTGGTAGTGATGCGTAACGAATTCACATGGTGATCGAGAAAAAGCTACGCTTGTGATCGAAGTGAATTAAAGATCTGATCAGGAGTAGTCGAACTTCGTAGCTCATTTTATAGAGCTTCGAGATAAAAACCCGTTGGTCGCTGGTTCGAATCAGGCCGCAGTCACCTTCAATCATCTTCCAGTTAACGATGTAGGGATATTTGGGCGTACATAGCATTTAATAAAACTAATCGACTAACTAACTTTACTACGCTTCACCTAAACTCAAAGTTAGTTATGACTCTATCATAGGTGTGCAAGATTTTACTGCATACATTGGACTTGTACACATGTGTTTCATGGATACAAAAGGCTTGATTGGCTTTCACCAACTTACGCCACCTATGGCACCGCCATGATATCTGATTGTCTATTAAGGTTCGCGTGTACTGCACAGGAGTCAGTTCTGTTTTACTCTATGGCTGTGAAACATGGCCATTGAAGGTGGAAGACATGAGAAGGCGCCTTCAGGTGTTTGACCACCGTTGCCTTCGTAGTGTATAGGCCGTATTCCGTGGTGTCACCACGTGAGTAATGCAGAAGTCAGGAGTAGAGGTAAGTCAGTTGACAAGGTTTTGAACCTTCATCGACTGAGATGGTTGGGACACATACTACATATGCCTATTCACCGATTGCCTCGTCACACAATGTTGTCCGAAGTAGGTCCTGGCCTGAGGTGGCCAGACTAAAACATGGCACCAATGAATGAAGTTTCAGACTATTGGTTTGAGCTATGTGGGACGATGCAGACGAGGTGGTTGAGGTCTGCGGGACAAGAGGAACCAGTGGTTGGAGACTGTAGTGATCACATGGCTGAGAACCGATGTCAATGGCGCAGATGTATGCCCCACACACATTCTCTTCATCTTAACGACGACATATGTGTTTAATTGCGATTCAAGTCAACATTTCAGCTAACAATAGGCAATGAAATGGTCGAATGTGTTGAATCAATCCTGATGGGTGAGTGACTGATGAAATCTCTTCAGAGATACAAAAGCCTCGATCTACTCTTGACACTGCGATATATGATTGTCTGTTAAGAGTTGAGTATACTGTGATGTGTGTGTGTGTGCTAATTTATCGACAAGATAGATCCATTTTTAATTCTAAGATCTTTTCTACTCCCTGAATAGATATCGAATTTTGAAGAGATTTTTCAATTTATGGTCTTATCAATACACTACAAGTATTCGATATCATAAAATATACTATTCTGCGTGTAATTTTCATCGAATTTCAACATGTCGAAGATTCTTATCATTATGGAGAAGTTATATATTATATAAAAAGGAAATAAAACGAAAGTTGACATTAACAATTACATTTTATAAAGTTAATCGAATAAGGAAGTGTTTTTCAGCTTGGAAAATGTATTACACTGAAGTTATCGATCATCGTCGTATTGCAGAATATATGTTTGTAAGTTATTTCTTTTTACTATTGTTATCTATTTCATGTTGTATAACCTGTCAATGGAGTTCACAGTGTATGTTTCATCGTTAGCTATATGTAAGTATAACCAAGATTTCGGCAGTGTCCCCTAGTGAACTTTGAACTAGATAGCCATTTCTTTAAACAACTATGCCATAAGGTAGTATTCATCATGGACTGACATTAGTTAGGGAACCATTGAAAATCTGGGCGCACTGGATGGCTGTTTCACCCAAAAATGAGACTCCTCAACAATACGCACCCATGATCGAACTTAGGACCTCCAGGGTTGTGGATGCGTACTTCTGAGGAGTCGCATACTAGGACAAAACGTCTGTTTGATGCTCCAGGAATCGCAATTGATTGTTCGACTCCTTCTCCACTGTGAGTATTCTCTATATCATCTTTTTCAAGGATAACACTAGAGAATTCAAATGTATTGATATGATCACATGTAAAATGATGACTTGCAGTCTTTGTATCATTGTATCTGTAATTAGTATTAGATATCGGTAACCCCCATTGGGGTTCCTCACCCTCAACACTTATATAAAACTATTCAGCTATATAAACATTTTAATAACTTGTAAGGATTCATCATGTAGGGAAACTGATCGCCAACTATTTTTTTTATCGAATCGTAACAAGATTATTTTTTCCCCATCTCTCTCTCTCTTCTCTGCCTCCCTTTTTATCAAAAGATGAAACGGTATACATTACTAATTCAACAATGTTTACTGAATTGGAAATATTATATTACAGTTAAACAAGCCTTATATATGAAATCATTACATTTCAAAGAATCTCTTAAGAATAAACTTCGTCAACAATATCTTCATCAATGGTTAGATAATCTTCATTATAAAAAGTCAATAGAATGTTTGATTAATCATTTCCAAGAAGTGAAAACTATACAATTCATGAAGAAAGTAAGTCACTATTGATTTATTTCTTGTCTCTATGGACAATAGCATCATGAATACAACCAAGATTATGATATATCTGTTGATTATAATATATTATTATATGTCCCTTGGGTTCCTAGCCGAACATACGGCTTCAGTAGCACGTCTTCAGTGCACTCTCTTCTCTGCAATCATTTGAACCTGGCTCCACGACTACCCACAAGCTCTCAATTCTTCCTCACACCATCTCCTCCATGTCACCCTCAGCTGGGACGCCTAACTCGATGATACCTATCTGGGTTCCACTCGAGCATTTGGCCTGGACTAGCGCATGATGTCCCCGAATGGTCTTCTCAGTGCATGCCCAATCCATCTCCACTTCCGTTATCTGCAAATTTGTTGAGTGATAGGTTGTTGGTTGGTTCTTTGCCAGACAGCCAACCAGAGTTCCTTGTTGCTTATTCTTTCTGACCATCTCATCACCATCTTCAGTATCGAGCGCAGGCAGCCATTGATATGATGAATTGAACCACAAATAGCCAAAGAAACTATGTAAATCCTTGTCACTGAAGACACAGGCCCTTCAAAACGCATTTTCAGATGATGCTTATCCTGTGCATCATCAATTACAATTTCATCGATAGAAATCAGTAAACGCATGATTCTACCGTACATCAAGAAATATATAAGAGATGATGGGAAGATTAATGAGACCACATGGAATTGGTATGATGCGTGATAAACCAACAAATATCCCATTATGTAGACGAAAGGCAGTGCAACAATCGAAGAAGACAAACGAAGTGTCTTTCACAAAATCAAGTGGGGTGGATAATTGTGATCAACACTACAGTAGACGAAGTAGTCGCCCCATCGCCTTCACTTACATGAATTCAATTTTGAAACTGTAGAAATATTGTAAAGACGATTAGAGAATTCCTAGAAGCTTCACATTCACGTCAGTCAGTCAGTCAGTAACCAATCGATGTATAAACATAGACCGAAGGTCAGTGGTGAAGCAGAAGAACAGCCAACAATGAAATCTATGCAGTGAGTCAATAACATAACAATCAGAGGAAACAATCAATCACAAACCAGTTGGTCAGCGCAAGTTACAGAATCACTCATGCAGCGATATTGACAGCTCATTTTTCATAGTGAAGTTAGTGCTGATGATGTCGCTGTTTAGAAAGACACGATCGAAGCTTTGCGATTAAACCATCCGGGGGAGAGAACACAACACAACTAAGAAGAGGTTTCAACAATTAACCACTTAGTTGACACGCTAACTGCCTGATCTAAAAGTTCAGTTATCAATTACAACTGATTGGAATTTCAATGTAATTCTTCTCTCTGGCGATAATCCAATGAAAATGAAAATAACGTTGCTGACTAGATTGTTAACGAAATGTTCAGAGACTTTCCCTAGTAAGTTACGAATAATATCACAACGAAGAGTCTCTTTTCTAGTGTTTAGGATTTGATAGTTAACAAATGAGTTCGTCAAACATGCCAGGCAACACAAGTGGTATCAATAAATCAACAACAAAAACTGTAATGAGTAGTGAATGTTCATTAAAATATGTTGGAAAGTGAATTGTGATCAGGCAGAGCATAGTAAGAAGTAGAATAAGTCACAAATTAGTGTCAAAACAGAAAAATGAGGTATGGGGGGGGGGGGGGGCTTGGCAGAAGAGATTTTAAAGACTGAAATTTGAGACCATGAAATGAGAAGAGGTTGAACATCCATCTTTTTCGTACATAGTTCAGGTTTCTCTGTCGATCGATGACAAGAGCTATGGCGATGCCAATAACATTAGATGTATCTTCAGTGCTGATGTGTTTGTTAGAAGAGGAAATTCCTGTTCTGAAGAACATCCTGATTGATGAAAACGGATTCCTATCACACTACATAGACAAAAATTATCAATGCAGAAGAAAGTGGAGATGGATTGGAATGGATGTTTGCGGACATCTTGCGCCAAGTCCTCAGGTGGAACCAAAATGGGCATCCAATGGAGATATGGAGGAATCAGATTGAAAAGACTGGAGAGAAGAGAGTGAAGCAGACGTGCTGCTGAAGCCCTATGTTCCACTACTAACCCAATGAGACAAATAATTATAATAGTAATAATGAATTGGTCTGTCCATTAGCTACAGTTTTAATTACCTCTTTCAAGTACAGAACTCCTCAGCTGTGTACACTGATGACCTTGAAAGTAGTAAATTCACACGAATCCCATAATCCCATGTAATGAAGTCACTATCAAGCATTCGTTAGTGACATTCCTTCAACAATAGGTTTTTACAACAGTTCTAATGATAAATTGTAATCAGTGAAGAAAACCAAATTGAACCTTGGATGATGGTTGCGTTAAAACATGAATTGACATTTAAGGAGTGTGAAAAAAGTGAACCATTTTGGTGGTATTGCGTTCCCTGAGCTGGGTTATTTAGTTGTGGAGCTTTTCATCATATTTCTAGACAGCGACATCATCAGCACTAACTTCAGGATGAAGTGAGCTGTCAATATCTCTACGTGAGTGATTTAGTGCCTTGCTCTGACGATGTGGTCTGTGATTGGTTGTTTCCTTCGATTGTTGTATCATTGACTGATTCTATAGACTTTCCTGTTGGCTGTTTCACTGTTTGACCCCTGCTCTTTCTATCGATTATCATTTTTCTCATTGGTTGATAGATTGCGTCTATGTCTATACATCTGTTGATTGCTGAATGACTGAGTGACCTGAATGCCAAGCTTCTAGGAATTCTCTTATCGTTTGTCCAAGATTTCTACATTGCCAAAATTCAATTCATGTCCGTAGTTATTATCCGATGGCATTGAATGATGTGTGATGAAATGTCATGGCGTTCAATAGCCCATTGATGCTTATGTAGACGAAGGCGAAGAGGGCGGCCACTTTTTCCAATGTGTAGTGTTGACTACAGTTATTTCAGTTGATTTTGTAAATGATATTCGGTTTGTCTTCTTGGGTTGTTGCATCCTTTGGTCTGCATAGTTAGGGTTTGGAGGGAATTTGTCGGTTTATGAGGCGCCACACTAATTCTAAGTAGCCTCAGTATTTAGCTTGTCGTGATTTCTGATATATTCTTGATGTATAGTAGGATGATGCGATTATTGATTTCTGTCGATGTTGTCGTCCAGAAAGACGATGAAAGCTTCATGATTAAACAACCTACCTCAGAGAACACAATATAACCAGGACCATCCATCTGAGCTACAAATATTCTCCATTATTTCAAGGTGAACCATTAAATTCTGAAGGTTGTGAGTTGCACCTTTTTCAAGATAGGATGACATTCAATACTTCAAAGTTTTCTACAATTTTTCAAATGATATTGTAGTGGGCGTTGCTCATAAGAATGGATTTAAGTAGTATGTGTTAAGAGGGTGACAAATCACAGGGAACTACCAGTTATTTACTTCTGGAGCCTCCACTGCAGATACTGATATACCTATCAGCTGTCTGGTCACCTTCCCCAGCTCACTAATATACATGGGTTGGGATGCGTTCACTAGTCGTAGCTGCTGACCGATGGCATTCGGGACACTTTCGGTGAACTGTGCTGCCAGCAACTGCTCCTGTGACTCCTCATCCAAAGTGGAAAGTGCTCGTCGAAGTAGTTTCGTCAACACAGCCAATAACAGCGGGTCCCTGTTAACTGAACTGTCGAACTTCGCCTTCAGTCGTTCAACCATTCTCTGCCAAGTCTCCTTCCTCTCTCCAGGTTTCACGCCATCATACTCTGCTTTCGCTCCACCCCTCAGCAACGTGCTAAGTACCACAACCTTTGCTCTTGGATCCCGTACACACACTAGCCCCGCGACCGACTCGTAGTCCTTGAGAAACACCTTGATGTCTCCATCCTCGAACTCTACAGGCCACGGAATCTTCATCACGTCCAGAAGCAGCGACACCAATTGAAAGAAGCGAAAGTTAGGTATGCAGGAAGGAATGTGCATTGCCAACAAGTGGGACAGTAGTCATTAGATATGGTACATCTTACACCAAAACCGTCATTTGCAAAATATACTCCATTTCTTATTCTGCTTCTTTCTTCATTCGCCCTGCATACGCCTGCCTTGTCGCTTGTGTTTTTCATGACGGAATCCTTACCCACTGCTAGTAATTCCCTATGATTTCTGTCACCCTCTCAACATATTCTACTTATATATCCATTCCTATCAGTAACGCCCACTACAATATCAGTTTATATATATATATATATATATATATATATATATATATATATATATATATATACGAGTAAGGCGGGATTCCCTACTATCGCCTATAATCTTCCTGATTATGCTCAACAGGATCATACAGTGAGGAGCGAGAAGATGGGCATACCCTAGAAGATTTTTATTTTGCCGATGATTTATGTCTGATGTGGCACAGGCTGGAAGATCTACAGAGGAAAGCTAACAAGCTAACTTAAGAGGCAGGGCAGTGAAGACGGGACTTCAAGTGGAAATAGAGAAGATAGAGGTGATGATGATACCCAACCAACAACAACAATCTCCAATCACCATCGACGTGAGAAACTTAAAGGAAGTAGCCTCCTTCACCTATCTAGACAGGGCAGCACTCTTTCAACTACAGGCAGCGGCAAAGACGAGGACGTCAAAACCATCCAGGATCGGAAAGACAGCAAGACAGGCCTTCATTAACCTGAAACCAGTGTGGAGATCTTCTGCACTCAGTATAAGGTGTGAACAACATCCGGATTTTCAACACCAATCCAGTCAAGTCATTGATTCTGTATGGCTCAGAGACTTGGCGGGTTACGACGAGCATTTCCAACAAACTACAGATATTCATCAACAACTGCCTACGCTGGCTCGTTACTGAAGCTCAGCTCAGATGGCTAGAAAGAATAAGCAACAAGGAACTCTGGTTGGCTGTCTGGCAAAGAACCAACCAACAACCTATCACTCAACAAATTTGCAGATAACGGAAGTGGAGATGGATTAGGCATGAACTGAGAAGACCATTCGGTGACATCACGCGCCAGTCCAGGCCAGACTCTCGATTTGAACCCAGATGGGAAACGGCGAGTTGGGTGTCTGAGGCGAGGGTGAGATGAAGGAGATCATGTGTGTGGAAGAAATGAAAGCTTATAAGCTATCGTGAAGCCAGGTTGAAGAGGCTGGAGAGAATAAAGTGTAATGGAGACGTGCTACTGAAGCCGTATGTTCGGCTAGGAACCCAACGGACAAATAATAATATATACATATATATAAGAATAAAGCCGTATCATTTGTATTGTAGCAATTTCCACTTTTTGTTTACAGATATTTGTTGCATGGTTTAAATGGGTTCGAACGCGTCATACACATCAATTACATACTCAAATGATTTTCAATCATGCTGTACAATTATTACATAATCTTAGAATTCGTTTATACTTTATTCATTGGAAATCTACTCACAGGTATTATTCAAATTGTCAATTAGCGCAAAATTTGTATTCAAAGCATAAGCTTATTCAATGTTTCAGTGCTTGGTTAACTTATATTCTCATCAAGAAAAAACGAATGAAATTAAAGTATATTGCTGATAATTATCGGAATCAAAGTATTCAAGTAAGAAATAGTTGAAATTGATAGATTATTATTATGAAGTTATATCAAGTAATCATTAGTAATCTATATAATATGTAATGGTATGAATTGTACACAGAGACAGTTAATAAATATGATTCTTAGGCTTCGGTCTACACTCAGGATTAGACAACATGAAATTGGTAACACTTCTGTGACCAATCAATACATGTAAGCCAATACTTCAGAAATACAATCGCAACCCGAATAGCTCATTGGTAAAGTCTCTGAGTGACGTGGGTTCGTATCACAGGTGGGACATCAGTTCCTTAGAGATTGCAGATACGCTTTGCTGATGAGTGCCAAAAAGCACGAAACCTCAGTCTGGGGCTTCCTACCGATTGCCTCTAACTAACTAACAATTACTAATGTGCACCATGATGCTAAGCTTCCTAGCTTTGTTGCCACATTGCAAATATGATCGGATCAGCCTTGGTGCGTTGGTCAGTGACCGACGAAATTTCTGCACGAATAGAAAAGGCTCGACTGACTTTTGCCAACTCACACCACTTGTGGCACCGTCACCATATCCGATTGTCTATTAAGTATCGCGTTTACTGCACAAAAAGTTCGCTCTTTTCTGCTCTATGGCTGTGGAACATCGCCATTGAAGGTGTAAGACATGAGAAGGCGGCTTCAGGTGTTTGACCACTGTTGCGTTCGTAGAATATGCCTAAACATTGTCCGCCTCATCGCATAATGTTACAAAGGCTCGCGGTGGGCAGACTAAAACATGACATCTATGCATTAAGTCATTGAGTATTGGTTTGAGCCCTATATGACGATGCAGACTGGGTGGTTGGGGTCCACAGGACAAGAAAAACCAGGGACTGGATACTCTAGATGATGATATGACTTAGAGGTGATGTCAACTGCTGTTGACTGATTTTTCTGTCTTTCCTCATCTTCCATTTTTTACCTTCTAACTTGATGTAGTGATATTAGGTGTGGTATGGCAACTTGGACTAACATCTTTCCTTCGTTTTATCCTACAATTCAGTATAAGTAATTCTCCTCTGTTCATTGTTTACCTCCTCGTAAATGAGAAGTGGATTTCGCCTACTACTGAGTTGATGTTATGTGTGAGGAAATTGTCGATATGTTTCAATTTCAATGGGGTAGTGAATGTGTCATCCACATATCACCACGATAACGTACGTTCAGGATTGTCTCCTGAGCCATATTGATTGGTAATTTAGTATAAAGACTTGTTACATCAAAGCTAACCATTATTTCATCCTCTTCTGTATATGTAGGTCATCAAGCCTAACCAAAAGAAACAAAGAATATGAGGTGGGTGACAAGACTATGAAAATCAAATATCTCGAAGGTGGTGCGTGATTACACATTGGGATATGATTATGAGCAATACTCCCCATTCTGCTTGATACATCGTCATCAAGTTGATGATACTCAACCACTCACTGTTTGCTAGCTATATCAAATAAACAAATCTAATATGGAACTGCATTCCACCACACAGTTCTATCTTGGATTCCTCTGCTATTCACCGAGATGGACATAGCATCAAGAATAGCCAGCAGTATCGAGGTAACCGCATAGGATCCTATCTGTCAACAGAGGTCAAGCGATTCGGCTCTGTATTGCAAACTGCAGATTACAAGTATCATTTCAACAACTGATAACCGTTACTCAAGAGGTGGCTATTGTATCCCAGTAGCTTAGTGTTTCCCTTGGATGACCAGCAGTGCCAAGCTGATGCTGCCTTCTCAGTGGAAGGGGGGGTTAGAAAAGGTCGGCCCCAAAAATAACACACTCCACCACGCCCCACGGTCTGCCGGGCCGGCGGTGTTGGTTCACTTGTCGTTTCCTTTCGCTCATCCGGCCCCAAAAATACAAAAATTCAAAATAATCATACTCAAAAGGCTGGGTGTGACAGGCCTCAAGCAGATGTCCGATGGGCTCTGCGGTCACACAAATCTCTTTCAGGTACCTTAAGAAGAAATAGCCTTCCACGGTGTGGGCAGCCGGGAAGTGTCAACCGCCCTCACAACTCTGTCAGCACCCAAGTTTCTTCTGACTGCTATCCTCCTCCTCCATCATTACCTTCTAATCTTCCTTCACGTCTCTTAATTAATGATGCTGCATCATCTTCAATTTCTCCTACCTCTGCAGCCTTCGACAACGATCTGAGTCCACAGAACAGCGTCCCTGGTCTCCTTAAACCACGCTCCAAATTACATATTGGAGCCTTCAATGTCCGCACCCTCCGTCAAATTGGCCAACAGGCTTCGTTGGCAAAGACTCTAGCAACTCGGGCATGGATGTGTGCTGTGTTTGTGAGACACGCATACAGGACCCAAGTGTGGTTATTCACCTGACCTCTCCTGACCAATCTGGTGAATCTGCAAAATTCACCCTTCGAGTTTCTGGAGATTCGATAGCTAGCTCTCGTGGTCTTGCAGGTGTAGGTATAGCATTAAGCACCAGGGCAGAAAACTCACTACTAGACTGGATCCCAGTTGATAGTCGCCTCTGCGCTATGAGGCTGAACGGCACAGTGAGAACTAAAAGGAATAGTGAGACTCGCCGTTGTCTCTTTGTAATCTCTGCTTACGCACCCACTGACTGTAGTTCGGATGAAGTGAAGGACGAGTTCTACCATAAACTGTCTAACCTCCTCTCGAAAGCCAAACGTTCGGACGTAGTGGTTGTTGCAGGTGACCTCAACGCACAGGTGGGTAGACTGAGTGAGGCAGAAAGGCACTTAGGTGGCACTTTCGGAATCCCAGCTGAACGTACAGATAACGGTGATCGCCTATTACAACTATGCTCAGATAACCGCCTATTTTTAGCCAGCACAAATTTCAGACATAAAGAAAGGCACTGTCTGACCTGGCGTCCACCGAGCTCGACTCAGCGATGGACACAGATAGACCACATTGCTATTAGTCATCGCTGGAGAGGATCGGTGGAAGACTGCCGCTCCTTCTGGAGTACGTGTTTGGACAGCGATCATGCGTTGGTCCGAGCACGTATATGCCTGCGTCTCAATGGACGTAGAAAAAATTTGGCAACAAAACCACTACGAGTTCTGCTGGACAACGAAAACACCAAAGCCGTGTTCAGTGAGAAGTTGGCTAGGCAGTTATCGGAACAAAAGACTGTCACTCATCCAGAAGAAGCTTGGTGCCATCTTCAGTCTACTGTAAAAGCAGCACTGGAGACTGTAGCCGACTCCAAGATAATGGCTAAAAAGAGCCAGTGGATATCAGCAGCTTCTTCCAAACTAATGGATGCACGTGAATGCATCCCTGCAGGCTCTGAGTACAATGAAGAGCGAGCGCAACTTAAAAATAAACTGACGAAAAGTCTGCGCAACGATCGTGAACAGTGGTGGGCAGCAAAGGCTAAAGAGATGGAAAAGGCAGCGGCGATCGGTAACAGTAGACAGTTATTTAGACTTATTAAGGAGACTGGGGGGAAATGGTCAACAACAGTTAGTGAGGTTATAGCGGAGAAGGACGGATCGGCGATTCACTCGCAGGGAAGGCGACTGGGACGATGGGCAGAACACTTTGAGGAACAGTTTAACTGGCCTCCAGCCACCATTGCGCTGCCCGCTATCCAGTCGGACCCTGAATGGGACATAGAGACAGGTCCCCCAACACTAGAAGAAGTTGAGAAAGCGGTAGGTAGCCTGAAACGGGGAAGGGCAGCAGGACCAGACGGACTACCTGCTGAGGTATACAAGAATGGTGGTAGAGTTCTCTTAGTCAGGCTAACGGAAGTGTTAGCCAGTATATGGGAATCAAATACGATCCCCTCCGACTGGTCTAAGTCACTGATCATCCCAGTCTTCAAGAAAGGCGAGAAGTCCTCTTGTGATAACCACAGAGGAATCAGCCTGACAAACATAGTGTCTAAGATCCTAAGTTCTATAATTCTCCGACGCCTGAGTGGAGCTCGGGAACAGCAAGCCCGAGAAAACCAGGCAGGCTTTAGACCTGGCCGTGGATGTATCGACCAAATATTCACACTGCGCCAGGTCCTGGAACATAGGCATGCTTACAGACGCCCGACAATAGCTGTATTTCTCGACCTGAAGGCGGCATTTGACTCCGTTGATCGAGAAGTCTTATGGCAGTGTCTGTCACTGAAAGGCGTGCCTAGTAAGTACATCACCTTATTGAAAGCTCTCTACTCGAACACTTGTGGGCATGTTAGAGCCTATGGTGAGTTGTCCAGGGAGCTATACTCATCAAGTGGTGTCCGTCAAGGATGCCCACTATCCCCATTCTTATTTAATTTTATCATAGATATTCTTATGGAGGTTTCCCTCTCGTCACCTAATTACAAAGACGTTGACCGGATCACAGGTGAATTTTCCTTAGATCTAGAATATGCAGATGACATAGTCCTGTTAGGTGAAGACGCTGACAAGATGCAGAGTCTTCTGAACACTTTGAGTGGGAATTTGAGAATGTTTGGGATGCGATTTTCACCACCCAAATGCAAATTTTTGCTCCAGGACTGGTCTTCAGCGGTACCGCGGTTAACAATAGAGAGTGAAGTGGTTGAGTGTGTTGACCACTTCACTTACCTGGGAAGTAGGATCAACCCGGTGGGTTAGTTGCCGATGAGATTTCTGCACGGATACAAAAGGCTCGATTGGCTTTTGCCAATTTGCGCCACCTATGGCGCCGCCGTGATATTCGTTTGTCTATTAAGGGTCGCGTGTACTGCACAGCAGTCCGCTCTGTTCTACTGTATGGCTGTGAAACATGGCCATTGAAAGTGGAAGACATGAGAAGGTTACAGGTATTTGACCACCGTTGCCTTCGTAGTATAGGACGTATTCCGTGGTGTCACCATGTGAGTAATGCAGAAGTTAGGTGTAGAGTTTTAGGGAGAAGAGGTAAGTCAGTCGACGAGGTTGTGAACCTTCATCGACTGAGATGGTTGGGACACGTACTACGTATGCCTAGTCACCGATTGCCTCGTCACACAATGTTGGCTGA